AGAGAGAGAGAGAGAGAGAGAGAGAGAGAGAGAGAGAGAGAGAGAGAGAGAGAGATGGTGGCTATACCTGCAGTGGCGGTACTTACCTGGGCGCCATAGCTGGAGTCCATGCCAGCAACCTGCATCAGAGACACACCGGCAGCTCGTACATGGCAGCAGTTACCTGCACAGCGAGGAGGGCAGCATCTTCTTCTTCCTGCTGTTCTCACCCTCCATCGCCATCTCTTTTCTTCTTCTTCTTCTTCTTCTTCTTCTTCTTCTTCTTCTTCTTCTTCTTTCAGAGAGAGAGAGAGAGAGAGAGAGAGAGAGAGAGAGAGAGAGAGAGAGAGAGAGTTTAGAGGCAGAGGTTACATTGGGCTATGAGCTCCAGGATCTGATTCGACAATTTTGTGGCAGACAATGATTGGACATTCGGCGGGGAGACTATTTTTGGACTTCGCTATCGCGATCTTGGTCTTCTCCCTCCTCTCCATCTTCATCTCGCCTCTCCCCCCATCTCCTCATCCGTGGTATCTCCCCATGTGCGTGCTCAAAGAGGACCTTTCGTCTATGTATGCAGTCCCTCCTCCCACTCTCACATGTATGGTGTATGATGAGGTGTCGCGTCAGTATCTGACAGGTCAGGTCATATCTTTGAGTCTTCCGTTGCGCTACATTGTGCTATTTTGGTATGTATCTGGATGTACATTGCTTGTTGATGCTTTGCTGACGCTGCATTGTCCATTTGCTTCCTTTTCATCACTTTGTGGATCCTTGGCTCCATATCATACTTGCAAGCGCACGTCGTGCAGGCAGTTCCCTACATGCGGCGCATGCGCCCAACCGATCCCGTGCGACGCACGATGTGTGCGGGAACGACCCGTCACCCCCGTCAGAAAAAAAAAAAAGAAGGCCGGTGTCGAAACGGTGCGTTTGAGGCCCCCCGCCAAAATTATAAGCGGGATGAAAAAAAAAGTTACAGGATTGCTGCATCACCTTGCTAATCCTCCCCTTCCTCATCCTCCATGTCTCCTCCTCCCTTCTCCATTTCGTCTCCTCCGACTGGTCCTCCTCCTGCCCTTCCTCATCGTCCTTGTCTCCTCCTCCTCCTCGTACTTCCTCATCTTCCATGCCTCCTCGTCTCCTGCCCTTCCTCGTGTCCTCCCCTTCCTTGCCGTCCATGTCTCCTCCTCCTCCCACTCGTCCTCCTCCTCCTGTCCTTCCTCTTTTCCCATCCGTCCATTTCTTCTCCTCCCCATCTCGACGACGACTCCCCGTGTCCTCGCTATCGTCGTCGTCCTCCTCGTCCACATCCTCCTCCTCCTCCTCCTCTCTATATCCCCCTCTCCACGCCATATCCCCGTCTTCCTGTTATATGCCCCCCCGGCCCCCCTCCCAAAAGAAGATAAAATAATAATAATAAAAATAAAAAACCTGCACGATTCCGCACAGGCACCCCCCGCATGGAACTCCGCACGAATGTGTGGCTCGTGCGGTTGCAAGTATGCTCCATATGCATCGCTCAATCGAGCATGTATCAGTATCAGACAGTTGCAGCATGCCAGTTGGTTACAACGCAATGTGAGCCTTTCGTGGCTCCAGCCAGAAGCAACATCTGCGCTGCACAGTTGAGCCCAGGGCCCCAGTTGGTTGCGCCGTGGGCACACACAGTGGGAAGCCGACACATCACGCAGTGGCCGCGGACGAATGAGAAAGCAGCATTGTCGTCACACAACCTGCACGAGCCAAGGATAATGCGGCAAACACTTGGAGCCTGGACGGCTGCCTGGATGTGCCCAACTGTAAAGGGCCGAGGGCTGTAAAAGCAGAGGTGGGCCTTGGCGTGGACACTGGGGCCCGACTGGAAGCGACTGGAAACTTCCCCAGCCAGGCCCACGCAGCCAGACACAGGGCCGCACTTTCCATAAAGGAAAGTGCCCTGCCCAGGCAGCCGCATTCTGGCCTGAGCAGGCATTGCGGCCACGCTGCTGCTTTGCTGTGCGATGCTGCGCTAGGCAACAGGCCAGGGCATCTGTGTGCACAAGAGGTGAGAGAGAGCGTACCTGGTGTATGCTGGCGGTCTGCATGGGTGGTGACGTCACGTACAAAGGTCTTCTACTTCTGTGTGATCCAGTTGCATGAACGCCTATAGGTTATATAGGCTGAGTAGTGTAGGCTGGGCGCTGGGTGCCAGACAATAGGATCGACATTGTGTGACCAGAGAGAGCATCGACATTGGCACTTGAGTTCTTTGTATCGCTCTTTTCCGGATGGTATCTTGGTGCATTGTGCTCTCTGCTTGGTACATGACGATCTGGACTACTTTGTGGTTTTGCAACTTGGATTTCTGTCTATTGCTCTCGCTCATATTCCTTGCATATGGGAGGGATCAAATTATAAATGCTATGTAAATGGGTGTGAGATGCATCTACCATTTTGGTCGCTTACGCATTCATTCCTTTTTTGGGGTCACATTTCCCTTGGTGATTATCTGGCTTTGGGGGCTCATTAGCTCCCATCAAATGGGAGGGTTGTGTGAGCAACCAGAAGACGACGAGCTGAGAAGGGAACTGCAGCATAGTTTTCGAGGACTGAACCAAGGTTGATGCAACAGTCCCATTGCGCCCCCCATCCTCAGATTTCCCGGATCTCTTTCAAGCTTCCACCCCGTTGGCTCTCGCTGGTGGACCTGCAATGGTATGGGGACAGTTGAATTAAGTGTCCCCGACTACTGGGGCCAAGGCAGACAGCGCAGCATACAGCCACGGATACCTCTGCCCATCTGGCGGCTTTGTGAAGCTGAAGAGGCTGGAAGATAAATGTTGCTCCCTCAGCCGGAACCGGGTAATAATGGCCTTGGGGGTATGCTTTACTGAATGTATGCAAGGGACGCCAGACCCGGTCTGCAGTAGGTGCAGCTCCCTGCCAATAGAATGGAACATCCAGCAATTCAAAAAGAAAAAGAAAAAAAAAGGCTCTGACTTCTGAACCTGATGGGTCAACCCATGCATATGCATAAATCTGATTCAAACGTTGGACGTCCCCGTCTTCTCTTCCTCCTCCTCCTCCTTAGCTCATTTTACTAGCTCTTGTTGGGTTGTTGTTGTTGTTGTGGTGGTGGTCCTTGTTGATTTTTCCTTGGTGAGTCCTGCCCAACTCTTTTTTTCTGTATCTAGAAAACATTTGCTAGCCCTTCGTTTTCAGGCGTCTACAAAGTGGGATGGGTCCTGGTGTGCTGGGGATCCTGCATGTCGTGGTTGATGTACGGCTTTCTTATTCTCTGCACTCAGACTAGAACGTAGCGATTTGCTTGCTGTTTGTTTTTCAACCTTTTCCTTTCTTTCATGTCTTTTTTTGTCTTCTCACCACGAAAGAAACGCTGCGTTGCAAAACCAGAGAACAAACAACTGGTGAGGTAGGTGTCCCTTCCCGCCTTGTCTCCTCCCTTCCCCCCCCGCCTCCCTTCATTTCCCCCCTTTTGATTCATGGATCTATTTTTCCCTCCTTTTGACACCAGGCTCTCAGTCTCAGAAACAACCGGTTTATAAGTTGGTGAGGAGCGATGAATTTAATCCTGCTGGCAGGCTTCATGCTTTTCTACAGAAAGGAGCAAGCAAAAAGGACGAGGGAGTTGCAAACCTTGCAATCACCAGGTCAGTGTGCCCCCTGAGCTCTCCCAACTCCCAACACTACGTTCACTCTGTTCGTTACAAACATCGACAACATGACGCATCATACGGTGTAGTACTAATTACTAGTAATTAGTAATTAGTAATTGGTAATTAGTAATTACAATCTTTTTTTTTTTTTTTGATTCATTAATAAATGCCAGAGATTTGATTCATTAATAAATGCCACGGATGCTAAACCTATACTAAATCCAGTATTACAAATTAATAAATTATAAACTAATAAAATTATAATACCATTTCAAACTTCCAAATCTCAACTTCTCAAAACAGATGTCATGAACTTAGTATGGATGCCCCCTAGTCATATCACAAAGCACTATGCGATTTTTTTTTAATTTTTTTTTACACTATGTGATTTTAGTTAACATGTTGACAATGTGTGTTTGCTTTCATGCCAGCATTTTAATTTTTTTACTTTTTTTTTTTTTGTTGAAGAATTATGATTATTATATATTAACAATTAAGAAAGGAGGCCGGGAATCCCTTCACAGCACAACCCGGTGTACTGGGGCCATTACCCAGCTTTGGCTGGGCTGGAAACCGGGTCCAGCGTGCCCTTGGGCATAATTCTGAAAATAGAAAAAGTGGACTAAGAAAAAACTTCAAAAAAGCATCAAAACTCTACCTAGAAGAGAAGGGAAAGCCTAAGTGGGGTGAAAAACGAGTAGTCCTCAGGAGTGTAGCGGGAGTTAACAGGCTATCCATTACTACCCTAGTTCTCCCCTTAAACCCTAAACCCTCCCCACTCCTGTCTCCTGGATGCTACACCTCCTTACACTCAAGAGGTTCTGGACACAGAAAGTAACAAGCTTCTATCTGAGCAAGATGAACAGCCTACAATACCGGAAAAATACAGGCACTCCCCAGGGGTGTAGTGCTAGTTATCAATTATCCCTTACTTCCCCGGTTCCCCCCTTGAACCCCGAACCCCCTGCCCCCCCCCCCTTGTATCCTAGATACTACCCCTCCTTAAATCTGAGGTTCTCCGGGAAACAGCTAGTGTTGGGTTTTCCCATATAGGCCCTCTACTTTCTGTAGGAGCGCCCAAGCCCGGTTCTATGGAAGACTGAGACGGGGGGTACTTGATGGGTCTCCCATGGGGAGCTCCCACTGTCCCTCCCGAAACCAATGAAAGACCAGCCGAGCTCGTTCGATAGTGGCGACTTTGCCCTTGACGTGTCTCTCGTGGGGAGCTTCCGCTGTCCCTCCCGAAACCAGTGAAAGACCAGCCGAGCTCCTTCGATAGTGGCGACTTTGCCCTTGACGGGACCAGCCGAGCTCCTTCGATAGTGGCTACTTTGCCCTTGAAATGGCTTCCATGGGGAGCTCCCAGGTTCCCTCCTGAAACCAAGGAAAGACCAGCCGAGCTCCTTCGATAGTGGCTACTTTGCCCTGGGCCAGGGTCTTTTTCTGGAATTTCTCAACAAGGTCCTTGGCTCGGTCCTTGGCCTGGTCCTTGGCCCATTCGGGACTCAGTGATGCCTGTCTTTTGGCCTTCTGCCGTTGGGCTCCGATATCCATTTCCATGAGGTTGTCGAGTGTTGCCTTAGCTTCTGCTTTGAACATTGGCGTCTGCCCGTGGGATCTCTGTTTCCAGATAGTCCATAATGTGTACTATCTTAACAGCTGGAAGATGTGCTCCTGGTGGGGATGCCAAGACTTTGGCACTTCGCCTCCCGTCAGTAATGTCCTCCTGTCTTGTGGGAAGGAAGTCGACGTAATGGGCAGCCACAGCTTTCGAGCCTCTGGCCATAGGTATTCTGGTCCGGGGCATTGAAGGAGGCAGTGTGCCAGAGTTTCGAGTGTGCCAGCCACACACTGGGAGCAGGATTGGTCCGCTACGTCGCTGTGGTGCCGGCATTTTACATTCACTGTGATTCAGGCTTCTTTTTTTCTTCTTAATTTACAAAACAAAATGCCCTTTCTATTCTGGGGGGCTTGGTTCGGTTGCTCATCGCCGGCAAACATGGTTTTACATCTGAAAAGAGGAGGGGGGGGAGAGCAGACAAGACAGGAGGACCAGCCCGTCCCTCGTGGCCCTAGATGCCTGGCAAGGGGGGGACTGTTTTGGGGCAACCCTCCCCCCTATCCTTAGCCTTCCGGGGGGTACTGTCGGCACCCAGTCACGCCGTAGGGCAGCCCTTGGATAGGCGGGGTGCAGGGGTGTTGCTCCTCACAGTTCCTCAGGCCGCCTAGCATCCTGTTACCTGTGTCTGATATGTCATTCAGTCATTTGAAATTTTCAATGTTCTTTTTTTGGATGGCTGTTTTTTATAATGTACTTCTACTCTTGTGTTCCCTGCCAACATTACATTGAGCCACATTCGAATCTGTTTTCTTTATTTACTGCTCTCTCTCCTCCGGATAACCATCTCCCCCCCCCCCCCCCCCCCCCCCCCCCCCCCCCCCCCCCCCCCCCCCCCCCCCCCCCCCCCCCCCCCCCCCCCCCCCCCTCCTCTCTCTCTCTCTCTCTCTCTCCCTCTTTCTCTCTCTCTGCTGCCAAGGCAAAACTTTAAGAGGAGGAGGACGGCGAAAGCAGTGGGGACACTGCATTATTTGCCCAGACTGGAGGAGAACAAAGGTGAAAGGTGTTGCTGTTGTCGTCACCAGCACCTGGCAGAGGCCAGGTGCAGTGGATGGATGCAATTGGTGTGGGAAAGCGAACGAGGGCGGCAGACAGAGATTGAGGTAGAGGTACTGAGTGGGTGTGTACTATGTAGACCCTAAAGTGGGTTTTATGGCTGTCATGGACTACCTTCTTCATCGGAATAGAACACACGGTCATTATCGCTGTATCTAGACTGAACGTTTGCCCCAAATACAGTCATAATTGATGCAAGGGAACGCTTTTTTTTTTTTTTGGGGGGGGGGGGGGGGGGTCGGCAAATGTTTGATAAGACTGTATGTATGTCACTGTAATATTTGTTTGATTTGTTTGTAGAGTTGTGTTGTAGCAAACATGACAACACACGTGTGGAACCTGCTAGCTACCTGTCTCGGCACACCATCGGCTCCAGTAGAGTGTTGGTCATGATATATACAGTGCACATAAGAATTCATTTGTGTCGAAAATAGCCTGAATCATCGTCCTATCATCCCACATTTTTTTGTGTTGCTCATTCTTCCTCGTTGCTGGGGTGCTTCGTTTTGCGGGCCTACTGTGTGGTTCCGTTTTTTTTACTATGGATATGGTAGATTTGTTGTGGTAATCTTGTCTGCATCCTGGTTGGTTTTGTCCCGTTATTCGGTCTAAGCCAGTGCTGAAAACCCGGTAGGACCGGGGGGTCCTCCCCCAACCGGAACCGGACCGGTCGACCGGGCCGGTTCCCCCCCGGTTGACTGTAGCGCATCTTTTTTTTTTTTTTTT